ACGCTCGTCGCTTGGACGGGCGTCGAGGACCGTGTCGCGTACCGCAATGACGACGGCGACGCGAGGCCGGCGTTCGTGGGCCGCTCCGGCTTGGGCTTCTCGTGGTTGACAAAGTGGAGCTGGTACGCCGGGTCCTGCTGCAGTGTGAAGAGCCCGTCGGCTTTCTTGGGCTCGCCGCGCCGGTCGCGGGCCGGACTCGGCGCCTCCATCCTTTGGCAAAGAAAGTGTCTCTTCCAGGGGTCGCGACCGTTATTGGGTTCAGTTTCAGTTTAGTCAGTCTTTTTCGACTATAGTCGACTTGAATCGATTCGAACGAGGGTCGGGTTGTGGATCAAATCGAGTGGCGGATATGCCGTCAACTTTAGCAATGACTTGGAGACCCTGGCGTTGTATGGCGTAAAGGGAGATCATATTTACTACGCGCTACGGCGTGCGAGTATCAGTAGTATTCATGTGATGATCGTTTAGTTTAGTTTAGTTTAGTTTAGTTTAGTTTAGTTTAGTTTAGTTTAGTTTAGTTTAGTTTAGTTTAGTTGACGTCAGTGCTCATAGCTTGACAGGACCAAGGAAGCACGCAGCAAGCAGCCAACGCGTGGAAATCAACGCCTTATGGTACCAATGAAAGCGAAAACAAAATATCGAAATGCAGATGCGTTAGCGGAGCTTTGAAGTGACGCGAGCAGACCTCGACCTTCCATTGGACTCACTCGGTGCGAAAGAGCGCAGAGGAGTTCCTCCATCGAAGGCCGAGCGCTTGAGCGGAATTGAATGTATTCGTGGCCACGAGCCTGGTGGTGGGCGAGGCTGGTTTAGTTTTACGCTACGGGCTCCAAATCGGGGAATTTTGGTGGAGTTTGGATTTCGTGACACTTGAGCCATCTCGCGCAGCACCTCGTCCATTACTTACTTGGAAATGGGCCGGCCACACACGACTTCGAGTACAATAGACAGCTGCTGTCGCATCACCGCCGCGATAAGGATTTTCTTGCACGCGCATACCACCTCAGTCAATCAATCCCACCTCAGTCAATCAATAAACGTGTTCGCGTTAAAATCAAATTAGCAAATACAAACTCAAAGACTTCGCATACGTAGATGCGTGGGAGCTGGCATCACCACTTGATCGTTTGGAGTGAGCTGCGCACTGAGAGATCCATTCCGTGATAACCCCACTCGCCGAGAGATAGCTCGCTCGAGGTCGTACGCAGGCTCCGGTACTCGGACCACCCCAAAAAATACCACCTCAGTGAGAAGCTAAAAGCTACAGAGGCTCTCCCGTAGCGTCAACACGGCAAACACGTCGCCAATGACATGTTTCGCTCTCATGCGGTAGCAAACTGCCACTTCAATGTATTGGTGCACTGCATTACTTGCCCATCTTCACGCGTACGTCGCACGCGTGTGGCCGCCTACAGTACGTTCGAACCACACAAAAAGGTTAGGAGGTTAGGAGGGTCAGTGATGACCAAGATCCAGCGTGGCACCACGCGCCGCTCTGTGGCACTACATGTACGTTAGCGACAACGTTGGGCCGCGGAAAATCTCGAACATGGCACGTACCCGTTTCAGGTAAAGTTGGGTGTTTTGCATTCGTATATATATTCACACTATAGACAACTCTGCGTGCACGTCATCAAGACGCGGGCGTTTTGTGGCTTCGATCGCACATATTCGAGCGCCGATAGGCCGAAAACGATCGAAAAAGTGTATGATTCAAGCGATCTGATTGGCTCGCGAAAGGCCGCGGTTGGTCGGTGCAACCGCGCCAAGGTCAGTATTTCCATCGATCACGCTTCCGCAAACCAGTCATGGAGTCCCACGTCGCGTCGCTCGCGATATCGCAAGGCGAAGTGCGTATGCTCAACGAGATTCTGCACTCGCCTGTCGCGCGCCATCGGCCGTCGCACCGCTACGCCCAGTTGTGCCCGCTCTCGGACCCGCCTCCGCAGAACGTCAATGAACTGCCCACGACGTACGAGCCGCCGCCTCAATACGACATTGGTTTCATCACCAATAGCGACGCCAGCCGCATGCAGCATCCCACGTACGGCGCCAAGGAGACCGAGACGCGTGCGGTCTCGTACTCGTCGTCTTCGCCGTGCACGCCGCTTGGTGCTATGTATGCGAATGCACCAACGCCTACGACCACATATAGTACGTCGAGTGGATACAAGCCAGTCGACAGCCCGCGCGTGCAGGCAAGCGTTGAAGTGCCAGCGTCGTGGTCGTCCTACGGCACGCCACCACAGTACCACCACGAACCTCGCGGTCTCCCTCAGCGCGGGCAAGGATACGAGCTGAGCCCGCGTCCAGTGCAAGCATTGGTACCACCCAGCTTTGGCACGCTTTCGTACATGCCAACGTACTTGCCTGGTACAAACATCCAGTACCAGCACAACTACTCGTCGATCTCGCGACCCTACGGTTACCAGCCCCCCGCGGAGACAGCACGGTACAATTGTCTACCCCCCGCCCCGCTCCCACCGACGCCTATAATGGGCTCGTCCTCGCCGCCGCATGTAAGGAACGACGAACAACAGGACAATACCAAGAAGCCGCCCCGCACGTGCAAGTACGCCAACTGCATGAAGACGATCCAGCGCCACGGGCTCTGCCACAAGCACGGCGGGGTTCGCAAGTGCACCAAAAGAAGGCTGTTCGCGCAAAGACCGAGGCGAAGGC